GGCATGGTAGAGGCTGTACCGATCACAAGGGAACCCATGTAGGAAATTCAAACAGCTTGTCATGACCCATAGCGACAGTGAAAGACAGTTTTCTATAGTTCTGGCTTGATGTAGTCGCTATTTGTGTAATCGCAACAATTGAAATTTCGTCCGAATACCCCTTCCATGTCATTTCCGCCCTCTCGCCCAACCTCTATTTACCCTATTTTTGAGACGCCATATTTTCTCGAAATCGGCGGATTTTCTCGCTTTCTTCACTACCGAGGAACTATTCCCAATCTGTGCTTCCGCTTTTCGAATAAAAACGGGTACCTCAAAATTATCGTGAACTGTGCCTTTAAGCTATGACCATTCATAAGGCTATTCATATGGGTTTTTGCCCTCGTGGACGAGGCTGGTACGAGCTGCACGGTTGCGAGGAGAGAAGGAGGGGATAGAGGAAAGTAGCAGGATTGGTTATTAGTGCAGATTCAGTTCGAAGATAGAGGGAAACATCCTATTACCCTAAAAGCTTTGCACTAATTGGCTTGATACTCAGCCTTTTGCCATCTCTGTTTCCATCATCTTTTTGGTGTAGCTCCCCGATGTTTTCTTGTCCTCCCTCGGATGAACTTTTGATTAAATTCCTAGTGATGGATTATGGTTGTAAGTTGATCCAAGAACTGTTACTGTTATGCATTGCTATACTGGAAGTCATTATCGTTACTATTCCAGTAAACAGATCAAACATCTATGTTTTTGTCAAAATCAGACTTGCTAAAACACCAGACAAAATACGTCTGCAAAATTTCAAAAGACCTTTTGTATCAGCTCATTTCTTCCCCGATTTATCCGTCCCTTTTGGGAATTAGATCGATGAAGCTCAAAAAGGGCTTGCAGGAATCTGAACATTAGGCTGTGAAGGATATTCGAGAGGAATTGCTAAGCTTTGTTATTCGTCTATTCGATCCCTAAGGAGAGGAAATGGTCGAGATTGAGCAACGACTCGTTCTAGCACTTGTTTTGATGGAGTCCATTACCTCGATGAACTGGTTCTTACCAATGCAAGACAATGTTTCTAAAGGGAACGAGAAGTTTTAGTAGCCTCTGCTCTATAAATGCTAGAAACTGCCTTTGAGCACTGGCAAGCAAGCGGGAGAGGACGAACTTCGTCCCTTTCCCTCCACAAAATAATCATCCAAGCGAGTTTTCTTCTTCGATTTTTTCCTTGATATTTTCCCCTAGTGACCGACCCTACCTCCCTCCCGAAGTCACTGAAGGTTGGAAGGGGACTACTATTCAGTCATTTCTCATCACCATTTCTGCCCTCTTTCAGTGAACCCAGTTCGTGACGATCGGAGTTCAACATAGTTGTCGAAAACAAAACGTCCCCAAAAGATGTTTTCGAGAATTCTCCGGAAATGAATGGCATAGTGCTGAAGCTTTTGTGCATCCTAATGGTGTTTGCGTATTGCTCATAACGAGATGAAAAGCAATAGGTTATCCATGGAGTCACTGTCGGTAGTATAGAAAAGGCAGAGGGCAATGGCGATTTTCGATCTCCGTAGCGTTTTGTTAGCTGCGCTGTCAGCGGGATACAGATGAGGAAGCCATTATCATCTCTCCAAACGAGCATGTAAGGTCTCTCGGAGGGACTGTAAAAAGGCAATAAAATATATTCAGTCGCTACTACAACTACCATGGAACTGATCTGAAAACATATATCTTCTGAGGAAGACTAAAAAAGCAGTAGGAAAGCAGGGACAGGGAGATGCCATAGATAGAAGGGGCAAGATGGTGTAATGGCAAGCAGGAGCATGGCTCTGGGATTGATTATGGAATAGATACTCGCCCTGGCAAATAAGGCCTTCATCCCTCCGGTGTCGGGTAAATGGTACGAAATTTGAGTGGAGGGATGAAAGCCCTAAGTCGTATGTGGTTTGGTCGCCACAATTCATTGTAAAGCATTCAAAGCGTCACTACAACTCTGAATGAAAGTTCCATGCGGGCGCATTTCGGGAAACGATTGGTAAAAGTCGAAGCCTTCTTTCACTGCTTTGAACTTCGAAAAGAAAGACGAATAGAGGGACTAAACTTCAGGAAAGCAAAATATTACAAGAAAAGCCCCCGAACTTGGTGTCCTGTAGCTGAAAACGTGTTGGAAAATCCTAAGCTAAAGAGGAAGTCACACAGACAAAAGAGATTCGATACCATACCATGCCATTCCTTACCTTTCTTTTCTCTTGATTTTCTCATTTTCTTCAGGCACTAGCTAATTTCCACTTTATTTTGTAATCATAGCGCTTTTAACATATGTTCAAGGGTGTGAAGAAGTGGTCTTATAGGATACAACGTAGTATCACATGAACCTTTTGAACTGCCGAAACATCATTCTCTTCATTTTGAAGGGGCCAACAGATAAAGAAGCGATCGGAAGCGATCGCTGCCATTAGGCCGCAACCTGGTTCTCCGAACCATCGTCTCAGCAGCGAAGCATATTTGGTAAACAACTAGGTGAATGAAAGATCCCTTCTTGACCCGCTTCCCAAACATTTCATCTAGCGGCCCCGTAGTAGAGGCTGATGTTGTGTTCAAGAGAACGTCGCTCAACTTTTCTTTATCAAGAGGAAATGACCGAGCGTTCACAAAAATAAATGGATAGGATCCAGTCATCAACTTCAAGAGCACGGAGACACTTCGCTTGAAGACAATCCTAGACCTTTCCACCCACCACTGCCACTGTACACGTGCTGGGAAATGGCTATAGCCTAACTTCGATGATCCTTTTTTAAAATTATTTTTTTCAATGTAGTAGAAAGTCCTCGGCAAAGAGTATTTCATAGTCATTCCTTCCTGGTGCTCCCAGTTAGCATTATTTCGTGATACGTGGGATCGGCTAAAGATTGAAGCCAGTCAGTGGCTGAGAGTCAGTCAGTGACCGAAAGTCAACCCAGCGAGACTGCGCCCAAATATTTATTCTCAAGCGTTTTAATGCGATCATATATAGTTATTGGGATGGATCGGCTAAAAATCTCACAAAAACCCTTATTTCTTCTGAAAAATCCAAAAGTTTCCACATCCATAGTTTTTATAAGCTGTGAAAAGCTATTCAGTTGCATTTTCGAAGATCTTGTTTTGGGTTTGGAAGTGTTGGAAACGATGCGTACGCGGGCGGAACCACTTAGATGGGGGTAGATGGGGCTTCAAGGCTAAATGCTCGACACAAGTTTCGATAGATTTGGCGGCGGAGAAGCCGGATTCTGACTCCTAAAAGAGTACGTGCCAAATATGGGGAAACATTTCAGCCACTATAGAGTCAAGTACGTAAGAGAAGAGAAGGAAAAGAGAGATTCCGATATCTTATTCGAATGTAGTGGGTGGTTTTGTCCTTAATAGCAAATCCCATGAAAGTTCCCAGAGCACCAAGAAAATCCTGACTATTGCAATATTTTCCGTAGGTACATATTTCCAAAACAGCCTAGTAATAGAACGCTAGGCGTCCGGTGGACTATCAACCATATTCGGAGTGATGCCGGGTTGCTCTCTGCTTGTACGCAAATCATTTCAGTACTCACCAGTTCCCTAAGGCTATAAGAGCCGTTTTCACTCTTTTTGCTGTTGACAGCCTCAAAATGCAGTTCGGCATTGATTGCTTATCAGTACAGAAGCGGACTGAGAACACAGACTCCGTCATCACGTCCTTCACTGCATTTCTTCGTTCAGTGAGGGTTTTTGCTGGCTGCTGTGCTCCGGAACCCAACTGACAAGCACCTCAATACTTTACTCGAATTCGCGTCCAAACTATGAGGTGAGCATGCTGTACTTGTCTTTTGTGCTGAATGCATGGCTTCGGGCCGTGGTACGGAAAGAGCGTGCCTACCATTTACTGAAGGCGACCCCCTCAGTCTAAATCAGGTTCCGACGTCTTTCCGAGTCTGCAGCTCCAAGCGCTCCAAATCAGTGTTTGCTCGAAGATCCTACGAAATGCAACACCATGTCGATGTGGACAAACAAAGTGAAAACGATAGAACAGAGCCCTTCTTCAGCTCGGATTTCTACCCCTCAATGTTAGTCTCAGTGACTCTTGTTTGCGAGAACATATCGTAAGATGAGAATCCCCTGATATTATGTAATAGCAATTATCATCATCGACCACCACCTAAACCAATACAAGTACTGTAACTTCTTTGGTGAAAGGAAAATAGAGTGCCCCATGCAAACATTAAAAGCGTGACTTCGGGCTAAAAATTTTTTCAATACGATTCTGGATCAGATCAGAGGGATGCTGTGTCAAAACTCGGAATCTCCTGCTCGGTAGCCATTCTGGCGATCTAGACAGATTATTCTGAAGTATTCCGAATGACATGGAGAAGTATTTCTTGTCAGAGCTTGTCATCTCGAAAGAGCTGCAAGCATACGTTAACTGTTTCCGAGCCCTCAAGGTGATATCGAATGTTTTGCCCACCGCCAATTCACAAAAAAAGATCCCTCTTTCCCCCCCCCCCCCCCCCCTCGGATACTCGGATTCTTCCAGTTTCCAGTTCTCCCAGATTGCACCCTGATCACAGATATAAGGCAGGGTGCAGCAGACTCTGCTCGACCCCCATCCACCAACAAACTCCATAAGCCTACGCGCTCCCCTCCGCCCATTTTTGTTTGGTGTCAAAAATAAACAACGCACAAGAGGCAGCGCAACGTGGGGATCGCGATGGGTCGATAGAACTTTTCAGTATTACAAGTCTTCACTATGAAAACTCTTCTGAAGTCGACACTAAAACGAGGGGACGAACTGAATGGGAATCATGGACTAGACTTCTTTTTCAATTCAGAAACAAACCATGCAGTATGCCAAGATCTTATTGACCAGTTTTTCTAGAAGGTTTGATTACAAAAAAATATACACAACATAAAACAATGACAACAAAGATTGCGATACCCATCTATAGATAATCATTATCACTTAGTCTAGAAATTGTCACAACGAGGAGTTTTGCACGTGATCAGACTAGGAAACATGGAACACAAGTAAGGTTACATCGGACTTGCTAATCCGTCGCATTTACGACCAACCAGGAAGGGAAGCCCTGCGCCCAAAGGGTTAGGCCGCCAAAAAGTCCAGCTGCTTCAAATGGGAGTTCAAGGTGCGGGAGGAGATCAGACGACGCACAGCGTCATACCCGCTTAGACTTTTTAGTCACTTGAGTTGTAAGCAGTTAATGTGGAAGTTGATGAATTGTAGCGATCACAGATTCCTTATATACTTTTGAAAGACCTTCCTGCCAGAACGTCAGCACGTCGCGGTCCTGAAACAGCACCTTAACCACCTGATCAACGACCTGAATAGACAATACATTTAAAAAATTAAGAATTGGACGATACCTGTTCAGAACAGCCACGAACAACGTTGAAGACATTGCTAACATGCATAGATGGGGTTATTTCCTTTTGACGGGACATCTGATAAACCAGTTTTGCTTTAGAGACCCAATGCTCTCGTGTTGAACGTATTGTCGCATCCAATACCGTATGATGTACTTCGCTATCTGAAATAACTGAGAATGCACTGATGCCACAACAGACGACCTAGTTCACTGAGCTTTGGCAAGACCGACCTAATAAGAGCTGCCTATATCGATCCAACAAGCGAGGATTTCGAGGGTTTGGCAGTGGACGCCTTCGTACTTGGATTCGGCACGATTCTAAGGAACCGTTGGCGGCTTGTTCCGCGTCATCGGTCTGGATGCGAAGCACGAGCACACTCACGTCGAGGGGAATGTCCATGTCGAGAGGACCTCCCAGCAAATTATACCTGAAATTGGAAATGATCCAGGTAATAGTAAAGTACAATATTTAATCGAAATTTTTCATGATCCACAAAACGTTTTG